GGAGTATCATGAATGCAGGTGCACAGGGGGAACTTTACTCCAGAACACCAAACTGTAAAGTGCTTACCTCTATCTCTGTTTTTCCATAGTTTGCTATCTATTTAAATCTTTAATATTTTGAGAAGTACATGAGGACTTCTTTTCAAATATTTTTGTGTTTAAAGATATGTAGGTTACATGACTGGAAACACTGTCTGCACGTTTCAAAACTATGTTTTCTTGCTCCAAAATCATTCTGTGGCATAAACTAGTTTGATGCTTAAGATTTCTAAAACTTGCAATATAAAATATTAGTAGAAGAAACCTAATTATGGAAAAGCTCACACAAGTCAAAATTTTAACTTCTCTTTTTTTCTTTGATTAGTCTACCTTAACAGACATGATGTTTCTATAAAGAAAAAGGGTAAAATAGATAAACACATTTTATATCAAGTTGTAATTTCTATAAATACAATAATTCAATTGAATTTATAAAATTTTTATATTGCTAATGTTGATATATAGTAGCAACACATTCAATTTTGCTACATTTATGTTTGAAAAAACTTCACATAAAACCAGCTTTCAGGGACACTGTCAGAAAATACCACATTCAGATATTCATGCACTCTCTTACTTAAATTCAAATTAAGAGTGGTTCATGTTGTTATGAAGTGATAATTTCTTAACAATAATTTTAAGATAAAAAATAAGCATTTCACTTTACCTTAGAGACTGTATTTGAGCATCAAGGATATTGACTTTCTCTTGATAAAGAAGTTTTAGCTTCTCCTTTAGAAAAGATGGGAGAAAAGAAGTCTTTTCCTTTCTTCTTAATACTATCTTTACAAACAAATCTAGACATTAGCCAAAATAATTATTTTCCCCTGAAAATATGAACTTATTGAAACACTAGTGTCCGATAAATCTAAATATTTCACATTTGTGAAAGTTCACAAAATGAACAACCCTCCCATTTTCTTATTTCTACACATCTTGCCAGATCCTCATATGGTAAATTGCTTCAGCTCCAATTGCAGCCCTCTCCAATGATTTACACAAATTGATAATCTTGTCTTGAGTTTGCTCTTACTCTCCAACAAGTCAGCAGAAATAAAAGAGGAATTCAGAAGAACTTCAAGTAGACAAGCTATTTATTTACAATACAGTGAGTTACTCTAATTACCTGGTGAAGAACTAGGTACATAAATCAACCACACTAATGTTAAATACAATGGCGATAACAAACCAGATAAAGAACCAGAAATTTATCTCACTGTCACACTTAGAAAGAACTCACAATCAATATGATCCTCTTGCTTTAAATATGGCAGATGAAGTAAAAATTACTGTAAAAACTAGCTTTCAAACAACTGCAGGCATTGGGGATCACTGAAGAGGTTTTTAGCTCTAGATGATGCACAAAACCAACAAAAAAATATTTTACTGGGAAAAAAATAATAAATACACATAATTATCTTGAAGAGTTAAAGTATCCTTTAAATTCCACAGTATACATATGTACATGGATAAAAACCATAAAAACTTCCAGTTAACCATGTTTTTCCCAAAAGGTAGCAATGCTACCCCATTAATTTGCAGAAAAAAAAATAAGAATATCTTCCCAAACTGAAAATACAGGATAAAGACAACAACTTCTGAATCACTAGGGCTCCTCTGTATCACTAAAAGCACAAAATGTGTAATTCAGCTTAGCAAAAACAGACTGTGCAAAGCTACTTTTGTATGCTACTGATCCTCTGCTGCTCCAGGAGCAGACTCATTGCAAAAGAGCTTGCCTGGAAGGCTACCTAAATTACACCAGCTAGTCTCCATCTGCTTGAGCACTGTGTTACTTCTAAGAATCGCCAACGTACAGTGGAGCCATCACTGACAGGACATTCTGAAAACAAGACTTATCTCGGGGAAGTCAACATCTGCAGATAACATCTGCCATCTGTATCTAATTGGATAATAATATTAATTAGGGCATAATGAGAAGATGAGGTTCAAGAGAATAAAATTTGACCTCAAGTTAAGGTTCATTCAATCAAAATTCCTCCTGTATGTCTGTCACAAAAATAATGATCAGAATTGCAGCAACAACAAAGCACAGAAAGGTTTTGCAAAGGTATGACTCTGCAAAGAAAGTTAATACCAACCAGTTCTTCATGCCATTTTTCTATTTCTCCAACAGCTGCCTTAACAAAAGCCTGATCCTTGTTATGTGCTGGTGATGAGGTGACAGGCTGATGCATGCTACAGTTATTACCATCTACAGGCCAGGAGTTCTGAGTATTTGCCTAAAATAAAAACGTTAATGATCCAGTTACAATTATGTAGGGGTTTTTTTAAACAAATGTTAATTATATAAGTATTGAATCTTATAATTTTCATTACAGTAGAATATAAGAACCAATAAACAAGTTAATTAGGTTAGCAACCTACAACAGTGATGTTATCCAGAGAAATCCATGTTTACAAACTCTCATTAAATTTTAGTTGTAGACTATGTTGCATCTGGTTATACAGTTACATATTTCCAAACTACTTTATCACCAGGCAAGAAAGAGAAGGAAGGTATTTTGGTAGTAATACTTATTCTTTCATATCAGGTTCTTAATGCACTTTACAGAAAGAGACTACTACTACCTCCTTTTTACAGGTGCATAAGAAGAGTCACACTCACAGGTGAGTAAGAAAAGGCACAATCTGTCTCAAATATCTTGCCAAAGATTATTCACCAAGTCCCTCCTGGAAAAGCCTGATCTCTCAACTCTCATACTTTGTCTTTACAAGGTGATGTTTCCACACATAAGGCATGCCACTATACAATTTGTTAATACAAATCTAGTGTCATGGACAGTGTTTGTATAATTACACTGAAAGGAGAGACTGCGGTGGCTGTGTCTCTAGGGAAAAAAAATCTGCCTTAACACTAACTCCTGGGTGACTTTACCACTGTCTTGATACATAGCCTTGGACGAGTTTTACATTTTAGTCAATTCACTTTGGGGACAACCATTTATATAGCCTTCCTTAAAAAGAATCAGGTTCCTGAACACTGATTAAAACAACAACAGAAAAATAAAAACTTACTGAGGCATCTAGAAGAGTTTGTTCTCTCAACGTCTGTTCCGCAGTTAAGAATTTCAGTTTCTGATGGAGTTCCTCATTTTCAAGCACAACTACTTGTACTTGATCTTTCATCCCAGCCAGTTCCTCCTATAGGGTACAGGAACTGCATGTAAAAGGCTCCTTGCGAAGGCTATCAACATTTAAACATGTCTTAAGACCAAAAGTCTAGACTAACATTCCCCACTATTTTAACCCTTTTAGAGTATGAATACTCAAAAGACAGATTTTATATTTTTGCAGCTTGAATTTCCATATAACTTTAAAAAAATTGCTAATTTGTAGTTGTGGCAGGACATAAAATGTCTTTGAAGACCCATGAACACTACACAGGCACCAAGACACGTGGTCAGGCTCACTACATACCGAACTGAATTGGCTCAGTTTTGGTCATTACAACAATAAATCTCAAGACTAAGTTAAGCTGTTTTTAAAACAATTCTTCATATTAAGGAAAGCTGGGTTTTAGTAGGTGAAATATGTTGTTTAATACCTTGCAAAACTTCACTTCTGCTTCTAAATGATTAATGTACTGTGACTGATCATTGATTATAGGAACAAGATCAGAAAGGGCTGGTAAGTCTCCAGATGTGGCTTCTGGGTGTTTCTGAAGGAAGTAAAGAATAGCACATGTTATATTCTAGTTTTCTATTTACTGCAATAAGATGTTGCTTGCACACAGAATACTATGTACACTTAGTAAAAAGTCACCATGAGAAGGGGGACACAGTAAGAACCTACAATATCTGTATCTTCAATACAAAGTAAATACGTCACTTTTGTCAAAAGGTACAGCTGCTGGATTAAGCACATCTATAAATCAGGATTAAATCATATCTCCAAACCAATTTGTAGATGAAAGTCATACTGCTATTTAAGTATATAATCCATTTTAGACAAGCAGAAAGGAGTATTTTCTTCTTTGTGAAATTAATATAAAAATCTTTTGATTTTAATGAATTGTGGACGTGCATCAAAGGGAACTCCTCTAAATGTTCATTAACAATTGCTACAGAAACACAACTATGTCTGCAATTTTAACACCTCCACAGAAACACAGGAAAATGTGTAAAAGATAACACTTTTATCAAAGAACTTGATTACCGGTATTTTAAAAGACAATTCTAAAAAAACCTTTCTGAAGACCCTATAAATAGGTAAAATTTTTGATAGCCTCACAACTAACTAGTTAAAGGTAGTAATGAAGAAAATCCTTGTCTATGAAAGAGAAACAATTACATCTCTGCCTTGCTTGGCAAGATTCAAACAGGGATTAAACTTTTCACAAAATGTCAAAAAACTCAATCACTATAACTTTACAGTATTTACTCCTAAGAATACAGTACAGAAAGAATGCAAGTAAATATTATTAAAATGCCCTTAAAATAATAAATTATGTAGTTTCCTGAAAACTACAGCCTCTCTTTGATCCTATTAGCAACAGTCTCTGTCAGTCTAATAAAAATTACTTTTTTAGAGCTGATATAACGAATATTTTTATATTATAATAATACATTTAGTTCTAATGAAGTATAACACACTTTAAAATAACTTTAATGGAGTAACAGTATTAAGCAGAAATGTCAGTCTGCAATGAAACTGCCTTTCAATAATCACAAAAATAGTCTCTACTTTCAAATGTAAACACAAACAACAAACAGCTACTATCAGATCCTCACTTGTCCTCTTCATGTATTTCAGTATTGTTTTACTACCTTAGTTTGATATTCCACTGTAGCAAATTTCATCCATTGAAAGAACTAAGTACAGTCTAATGCTAGTTGACATATATGTATTATTTTAATTCCTGAAGCTAAAATAAAGTATATCAATACAAGCCACAATGTTTTGGCTTGTTTGGTCTTGGTTTTGGGTTAAGGTTTTTTTAAATAATTAAAATTAAGACAGTCAAACTGTGACAAGTATCTAAGTGAAATATATATCCTCATACAAAAGGTGTCTGCGTTTTTCACTAATTTACTGAACACTTTTATTCACATTTGCAAAAGGGTAAATCTCCCTTCTTTGTATTCTTTTCTGGTGAGGATACAAAATTCACACAGAGTTGTTAATGCAGTCCTCTCAGAGGAACAGCAGGTACATTTCTAGCATCAGTTTGCTATTCTAGATGAAAACAAGCACCTTTATGCCGATCTGAGCTAGTCTGGAAACAGACACAATTCTAACATCTGTTACCTCGGGTCAGAAACACGCCTTTTTGTGCAAAAATATTCCATGATATGCTTCTCAAATATACTTAAAGGCTTAAAGATTACAGAACTCATTTTCTGGAACTAACTGAATAGTTGGATCCCTAGATCTCCTAAAAGATTAAGAAGCCTACATTTTTGTTTTTAAATATTATTTTTTAAACATTCACCATTCAAAAAAAAACCCAACAAACCAAACCCAAAACCACAAACCAAGATACTAATGGCTAGTTATCTTATCCACAGGTTCTGCCAACAATTGATGGGTTTTTTCCTCAACAAGGTATTAAGATCCTCTAACCAACCTTTAAAGATAAAGGTAAAATCCACTAACCAGCGTGACAGAAATGTTACTAGCAACAAAAGCCTTCCTGTCAAATTACACTCAATATAAATCTTTGCCATATTAAAGGTGTAACTCTTGAGAAATCTGAAACTATGACTGCAAAGACAAATGGAGGGTTTTCCATAACTATTCAGAAAAACATTTAGGGAATGGACTCCAAATTTGCAATGTATTCCACTTGGCTCAGTGCACTTAAATTCCATGTTCTATTGACTCAGAATTCACCTTGCTTTAAAGTCTGTTAATCTCACCTACTTTATAAAGTTTTAAAAAATGGATCACACCTGTTAAAGTACATACAATATAGCACCAATAATATTTGTGACTCATTGTTCTGTTCATCTGGCTCCTATTCATCCCTCCCTCTTTTCTGATAATATAATAGACACCTTGCAGCTGAGACCTCCAGCTGCGTCCCTGAAAAAATTACACCACTGCAGTGTTTGAAAATGTGAAAAACTCCATTTCTATTCAAATTATTTTTCATTGAAAAACAGTGCTAATGTTTAACCTCAGAAACTCGAAAAACATTGGTATAATGGATACAAGAATGCTAAGGAATAGTTTCACTAAAAGTAAAACAATATATTTTCCCAACAGAAAAAGAATAGAGGGCTTCTTAACACAACTTATTAACTCAAAGCACTGTAACTGTGATATTTCTTTATTTAGAAGCCTCTACTTGCCCTTTCATAAGGCAAATGCCTGGTAGATAATTTGTGATTTATTTCTTTTTACCTTTTTTACTACCCAATTGTTATCAAGTAATTATAAATTAATTTGGGAATTTTTCATTAATATTCTGATAATATAACATTTGTTACAGGGTGAAAGAACAGAGGTCAGAGGAGGCATATACTTACAGTAGGCCTAGGGCAAATATTAAAATCTGAATGGAAAGACACATCTGATCAGTATGAATTACAAAACATTTATGCCTGAGCCTCAGAAATGCTGTTCACATTTGCATACTTAATACTGAAAACTTTAACACAGAAATACAAGGGTTTATAAAATATAAGTGCTTGGTAGCTTTAGAGGCCAGTGTTCTACACAGTGACAAATAGTTTTTCCAACATCCCAAATAATTTGGCCCACCTTGTACTTTTCCAGAACGCCTCAAATTTCAAAGCTCTAAACCTCAGAATTAAGAAACATGCCTGCTGGAAGTATTAAATCTGCTTCCCTGGAAGCTGGCAAGAAACAAGGGGAATCAGTAACAAGAACTCCACCTACAAAAACAGTGTCAGGAATCCAGGCCAGGTGCAATTAGCTTAGCTAAGACCTGGCTTGTAGAACTGCAGTTGTTGTCTAAAGCAATCTTGCTGGGCCTCGACCTCTGGTGATGAGGTAGAGAGCAAAAGGAAAATCTGCCCAGCCATCTGGGTGTAATCAAAGACAAGACATACTCATTTGATGTCTATTACAACTTTTATCAATGAGCAAGAGAAGGGAATTTTGTTAAGATAATGTTATTTATTAAATATTGTGAAGTTTACTAAGCAGTATACTTTCTGTGAAATATTGTATTTAGCTATAGACACAAGCAGTCACCTACTATTCAGCAGTCATCAGGTATTTCAGCATAATTCAAAGCAAAAGGTTAAGGTTACTCATAATCTAAGTTTGACTTCCTTGACCTTTTTGGGGAATTTGATTCCTCTTCTACAAGAAGCATTTTTGCAGTGTCCACCAAACAAGCTCGTACTTTACAAGGATTTGGGGGTTTTTTGGGTGTGTGTGCAGTTTTGTACTTCCACATTTTTTTAGCTTTACACTTGGTCTGCCTTCAAAACACTTTCACATCCTGGTTGGCAAGCAGATGGAGGACAGCTGAAAAGGAGAATAAGGCCACCACTCCACAAAATCCCTCTCATTGGAAACTTCAAGAGGAAGAAATGGGACAATGCCCTATCAATACAGTAAAACCCCATCTTTTCTCTGTCTACTCCTACATCCTTTAATCCACTCCCTGAAAGCACCATCACATGCTTATTAGAAAAAAGTATCCTGTTTTCTGAATTTTTCCAATCTACTAAAACTTCCCAATATAAGTAGAAAACACTGACAAAGATGGATTAAAAGATGCTTTTCCTCCCCGCCCCCCAAAGGCTAATTACAATTTTATATTAATTCATTTCATATTAAGATTAACCCTAATTAATAATGTATTAATAATGCACCCTTTGAGCTACAAAACAGTAATTCTATCCTGCATCACTATGAGGCAAAAGAACCTGTCAGGACAATCAGACTAAACTAATGTATTTTAGAATATACAGAAAAGTTGAACTCTAAATAAAATTTCTTGTTGTCAGAACAATAGAG